TCTTTAGTTAAAATGTATGACTTTCTAGGGAGATTTACAAAAGTCAGCACCAGAAGAAATAGAACATCTGAACAACAACAAAAAAAATGCATAGAAGAGATAGAAAATCTATCAACTCGCCCTCAAAAGTAAGAGGGAAACAATGATCTCAAAGACATAGATGTTCCCAGTGGCATATAAAATATTAAAACTACAGAGAGTCCTTGACTTACAAGCATTCGAATTGTTAACTTTCACAGGCAAACTGTTTCAGACTCACTTTGTTGAATTATGAATGAACTGACATACGGACATTCTCCTGGTATGAGACTTATTCATAAGTTGGGGCCTTACTGTATTTAGTCTCTTGTCTATTACTAAAACAAAATACCCAGCACTAAATACTTTACAAAGAGAAGGAGTCTAGTTGGCTCATAGTTCTGGAGGTTCAAGGGCACAGCCTTATTTCTGCATGGCTCTGGAGAAGGTCTTTTGGCACATGGTACCACAGTAGTAAGAGCATGCATGAGAGAGAGAGAGAGAGATCACATCCACCGTAGGAAGCCAGAGAGACCAGAGAGGGTCAAGCTTATTCTTTGATAGTAAGCCTTTCACAAGAACTAACCAGGATCCCATAAGAACTAGTTAACCCATCTGAGTGCATGCCCCCCATGACCTACCAGGGGCCCTGCCTTGTAAAGGTCCACTACTCATCACCACACCACAGAGAACAAGTCTGCACCACACAACGAGTCACATCCAATTGAAGGCACAGACCATGGACAAGAATGTTTCCTTTATGACATAAGCAATAAGGATCACCAAACTCAAGAAAGAAAAGTCTAAAAAGAAAAAACCTTTGAGCAATCATATATATGTAAGAATCTTAAAACAGTAACAAAATATCCATAGAACAGCTTAAAAACCATATTTATATGTGCACACACACACACACACACTACATTATGATCAAATGTAGCTTACTCTAAGAGTATAAGAACAGTTTTTCATTAGGAAGTCTATTAATGTCATTTATCATATTTGTAGATTTAGGAGGAAAGATTGTTTCTTTAAGTAGATACTAAAAATTTCATTGGAAAAATATATTAAATCTTATAATAATGCCAGGCATAGTAGTACACACTATAATCCCAGCAGTCAGAAAGCGGAAGCAGGAGGATTGCTATGAGCTTGAGGCCAACCTAGTCTATGTAGTCAGTTCAAAACCAGATTGAACAACATAGCAAGTTCCTGTGTCAAATAAAAATGAGCTATGCAGAAAAGTCCTTAACAGTATAAAATCTATCTGTCTCAAACAAATGAGCAGAAACTCCAGAAATAACAACTAACTTCATAACTCCAAAAGTCCTTAACAGTATAAAATCTGTCTGTCTCAAACAAATGAGAAGAAACTCCAGAAATCCATTTAATGGGGAAATACCAAAAGCATGTCTAGCTAAGGCCAGAAGTTTGTGAGATTGCCCACTATTGCCCCTCTCTCACTGTCAACAGAAGTACACAAAACACGGATCTATGAGCTCTCAAAGTTTGAAATAAATCACTTACTGAGCAGATGTGCTGTGGAAATTGTGTACTTGGAAAATCTAAGAAAATTCATTAAAAATCATGAAATACATAAATTTAACAAAGGGCAGAATAAAAGTTAGTATTATTTTACTTATTCATTTGACTTTGTTAGTACATGTTGGTAGTACACCATGACTACATTGACCATAGGGAATTGGTACACGGACATAACACATTTCAATTCTTTTTTCCACTTCTCTCCACCCTCTTTTATTTTGCCAACATCAGATCCATTTACTTGTGAGACCTTATGAAGTTAGTTGTTATAAACAGAGATTAAAAACCAGACTAAATAGTCCCAAAACGTATAAAACGTATTAGACAATTGTACTAAGTCACGCTACTCTTTTAGATACATTGTGCTGGACTATAATAATTTTTCCGTCTTTTTTCTATCATCTGTCTTTTATTCTGTATGTTATATGTTAAAATTTTCATATAAGAGAAACCGTGTACTATTTAAGCTTGTGTGTCTGAGTTACTTCACTTAACTAAAATGCACCTCGAGACCACTAAATAAAAGTTAGTTATTATTTTCATGGTCTCGAGGTGCATTTATTTTCCTACCAAAGACTCAAGTGTGCCCCTCTTGCTGACAGAGCAGCACTCAAAGTTATTGTGTATAAATGCCATGTCTTGTTTATCCATTCATGTGTCGATGGGCGCAGATGCTGCTTCAAGACTTAGCTATTATGAGCTGCGCTGCTGTGGACACCAGCATGCACGGACCGCTGTGATGCGATGTCTGGAACGGTTTTGGGAAGAGGCCTAGAAGAGGAATAGCTCAGTCAAATGGAACTTTTACTTGTAGCTTTTTGACTAAATTGCCATCAAAATATAATAGGATTTCTATGTTTAAGCAACTACTTAGAAGATACATTGTATTTAAAACAACTATAAAGAGATAAAATATCTGGGACATGTACAAGATCCTTCTGAGGAAAACTTCAGAAAAATGTTCTCCAAAGAAATAAAAATAATTCGAACAAAAGGAAAGGTATATCATGTTCTTCAATAAGAAGATGAAAATATAGAATTGTCAATTCTCAGTAAGTCAGTGTTTTGAAATAAACAAGTTCACTTAATAATTCTATGAAAAATACACAGTTAATGATAGTCAAGGGAAAGCTGAAATGGCGGAATAAAGATGAGGATCCATTCCACCGTGGCGCTGGTACTTGACTAAATGAATGCATTAGATGAAAAATTAGAAATTTCAGGACTTTGCATAGGTCAAAATGGCACTGAACACTGAAAGATTATTCAATGACTGTCGTTGAGACCACTGAATGACCAAGATAGAACATGAACTTAATCCAGAGCTTAGACTAGCACTGGGGGAAATTTATGTTTTCTTCTTTTTTGTTTTTTTCTTTGTATGTTTTTTCTTTTTTTGTTTTTTTCTTTGTATGTTTGTTTTGGGTGCTGGAAATTTAACTCACAACCCCACACTTGCTAGGCAGGCTGGGTGTCACTGAACTGTATTCCTGGCCTGGATCAATGATTTTAATGCAAATGTAAAGCCATAAAAGTAAGGGAAGAAACTATGGCTGAATTCATTTATAATAACTGCACAATTTACCTTTTTAGTAAGGACACAATGTTCATGTAAAAGACTGACAAATTTGAGTATGTGAAAAAATGTACACAATAAAATCCATTGCAAGGTAGGGTAAAAAAAAGATATAACTAATGGAGAAAGATTATTTGCAGCTTAGTAAAAATGGCCAGCTAAGAGCCCAATACATAAGGAGCTTCTAATAACTGATGACAAAAGACCACAACTCAGCAGCCAGGAGAACACACTGTTTTACAGGAAAGGAAATATAAAGAGCTCTTAAATATTTGAGAGAATTTTTAGGCACATTTATTATTTTTTTATTTTTTATTTTTTGTACTTTAGGGAAGGGTCTACAGGGTGTTCAGGGTCTCACTGCTAGATCGGACTCTTAGTGATTCTCCTGTTTACAGTCTCCCAAGAACTGGGATTATAGGCTCAATCACAGTCTCAGCACCCCCTGTGGTGGGGCCGGCTCGGCAGGCCTGGGAATCGAACCCTGGCCCCTGCACCTGCTTGCAGATGCTTTAATCTGTTGAGCTATTTGGCTGGCCCTTTTAGGCACATTTAGAATAAGTTCTTTCAAATACAAATTTTTTGGTACCTATTATGTACCAGTAATATTGGCCTTCTGGGTAGGGAACACACATTGGTGAACATATAGGTGTGAAGGCCTTTGCCTTCTTGGAGCCTGCATTCTGGTGGAGATGCAAATTAAAGCTCTACAGACTTAGCCAGTCATGGTGGCACATGCCTCTAATCCCGGCACTCTGGGAGGATGAGGCAGGAACATTGCAGATGCAGGTTCAGCCTGGGCAATTTAGTAACTTAGACCCAGTTTCAAAATAAAAATAAAAAGGGCTGGGGATGTAGCTCAGTGTAAATGTCCTAGATATATATGTTACTTATTCAGAAAGTTAATTCTCAGATTTTTCCCCCTTAAAAGAAAATTTCTAATTAAAACAAAAACAAAGTTCCACAGTATTTCTGTTTCAGTAACAGAATGACTTAAATCTTTTCCTTTGATTTCTTAAGAAGCATCTACCCAAGCTTGTCTTCAAATTGTTGTCACCTCCTTTTCATTTATGTTCAGGGCTTTTCTTCAAAGAGGTGTCTACAAAACAAAAGCCACATGTATTATGTAGGCCTCATAAGCAGGACCTCAGATCTCAAGACAGTGAGAGAGATGTCACTATGCAGGACATGATGTCTTTTCTCCTACTTTGAAGTTGGCTGATAATGATATTAGATGAATAAATAATTTAATAGAGTCACATAGTTACAAAGCAAGAAGTTACAAGCAAAGAAGACAGATTAGAATATATCCAATTTAAAAATTTTCTTCTGGGTAAAATTGTCCTTGAAATTGAAGACATTATTAACATTCTCCTTAGGGGCATGTTTCAACAAAATGTGATAGAAGGAATTGTTTTCAGTTAGTTTCCAAACTAAGATTCTCTTCTTGCTACTTGATATTGTGCTTTTGCATTTCTTTGTACATTGCTTCTCTTTGACTGTATTCCAGGTCTTGGGACCAGAAAAGGAGCTGAGAATGAAAAGGAAAGGAAGAAGGGATCAAGACAGAGCAAGGAGAAATAGGTTAAAGGTGTTAGGGTTGTAGGCAGGGAATCTAGGGCGTGACAGAAACTGCCAAAATCCCCCCCTTTTTTTTCCTGGTGGTACCAGGGATCAAACTCAGGACCTTGTGCTTGCCAGGCAAGTACTTATTCCACTGAGTTATCTCCCCAGCCCCCAAAATCCTTTTTGTATGTAGGGCAGGGTGCTATTACTACACGTCCTACGTTAGAATGTATTGTGTCTCTGCGCTGCAGTTGATGAAATGCACACTAACACAGTTCTCCCTTTTGAATGGTAGAGCCTGCTCGGGTTAAGGAAGTGCTTCCCCCAATACCAGAGCTAGAAGCTCCGTCTTCTCTGCATCAGTGAGATCGATACACAAGGTGAGTGATGGTACGGCTTTATCGACTACTTGGCTTGTTCATTATAAGCATGAGTGATTCAGGGAGGTACAGTTCGCCCCAAATATTTCAGTCTGGGTGTAGGAGGAAAAAGTGATGACCCTAGAAAAGTGATTGAGTGATTGCATGTGAATCAGAGACAAGAACTAAGACCACTATTTTCTCCAGGATCTAGGAAAGATCACTAAACTAATCTCTCTGTCTAGTAGATTAATCTCTCTGAGTCTGTTAAACTAGCCCTGGGCTGTCAGCGCATCCCTGGACACTGTTTATCCTGGAGTTGACCCACAATTCAGTGACAGCCGGAGAAGAAAGAGTGACAGCTGGAAAGCAGCTCTGTCCCCACCCCGCCATCCAGTGCTGAAATGAGAAGCTTCTTAAATCTAAAGAAGCTCAAGTCCCTGGTGACCTTGATGATTGCATGTTGATTTCCATATATTTGAATCAAGAGCTGTGGGTACAAGTATCATAGACACTTTTTTCACTCACTCAACCAAAATTTATTCAGTAGCTACCATGTTAAAAGTACTTGTTGGCCATTGTAGGGTGTATACAAATTATGACAGGGCAGAGTTACATTTGTAACTCTCATTGTGCTTGGTGGCGACTGACTTATTCTTCTGAATTGCTTATTCTTCATAATATGGGAGTGGTTATCAGTCAACATCCCAGCAGGAAACGGACATCATACTCAAAGTGAATAAATGAGCAGAGTTCAATGTGAGGTTTAATAAACAGGATATGGGAGAACAGAAAGGGAGAAGGCAGATTCCATGGGCTGCGGTAAGGGGCAAGGAGCTGAAGGGGAAGGGAGCGGAGAGAGAGAGAGAGAGAGAGAGAGAGAGAGAGAGAGA